AACCTCACCAAACAATAAAACACATTTCCCTAACAATAAAGTACTTGGCGTTGTCCACCAGATGTCCTAAGAAAACAACAGGACTATTTCATAAGGTGTGGATGAGAAAATGACGACCAACAATATGATCATAGAAATGGTGAAATACGGTGACTTCTACTAGCCGATCATTGATCGCTTACCTGTTGCAAATTATTTGGTCTGGCTTGATTCGTATCAGCTTAATTCTTACCTTTGTTGTGTTCAGACGTGCTCTTTCGAAGTTTTCTACCGTCATTAATTTGTCGAAATGCGAAACGTAGTCTGGGTACCATTCTGCTTAGTACACAACACTTTACGTCCGCTCCCACAGTCGCACCGATCACACAGATTTAAGGGGAAAACAACAACAATACAGTCCCTCTCAGGACTAAGTGGTCTAACCTGGCCCCAATGTCGTTGTCAATTACGACCCGCGGGCGCGCACACGCCAAGACAATAATTTATTCAATTTGGAAACTTTCTTGTAGCTCTGTATCATACATATAATGAGTAAAGTCGGGGTAGTTGTAAAAATAATAATGAATATATAGGTTATTATATCATAGTATTCTTCTGCAATATACATATTCTATGAGATGGTTCCAACACGCCGCAGGAATGAGTTTGGCAGGAAACGTGATGCATTCTGGGGCGTTCCTTCAGAGGACAATGACCCCTTGGATGCGTGCGTCAACCCAAACAGGCTCGGCGTCTTTTAGATTTCTACAAATTGTAAGCCACCAACAAATTATCAAAAGAAAGCTAAATCCTTCAACATATAAATTTGGATAGACTTTAAGGTCATATAAATTATCCTTCTAAATTTTACGATCAATCTGAACAAATAAATTGGAACGGTGTACTAGAACGCAGCTTGTGAACGTGTCTACCAAAAATACAGAAAACATACACAAGACATTGTCACAACCTACCTGTTCTCGGTGGAAGAACTTGATACCCACGGTAAGCCTCTGAGTGCTATCGATGGGTTCCGTGTTCGGCACATGTACCGGCAACATGTGGATGGTGGACCGATCGGCTGGCCATGCTACATCGTGTTTCATTTTCCCACATCACACATACCAAAGATATAGAAAATGTCTTTATTTGAACAGGAACGTTTATCAACCTGTTTTATTTGCAGTATATTATAGTCTTTATAGATTCCGGGCACCCCGTGAGGCCGGCTCCCTTGCTGGCTCGTAGGCGTCTTAATATTTGGGCGCCATTTTGTTTACTTTGTTTAGAATATTTGCCCAGACGCTTTTTATGTCTTACACCATGTAATTTCCCTGCGTTGATTAACAACGTAAGACCAGTGATGCCATCTATGAACATTTTCCACACACTACTTCAAGTTCATGTCTTTAACATTGTGTAAATGTTGATTTTCTTTGTTGTTTGTGAAACGCAAATTATGAGGAGCGAGTAAGCCGCGACTCCAGCGAATTTGTACGCCAGGTAGCATATTGTCCAAAAACGTCTGTTTTTTTCTAATTTCTTTTACACAATAGCAATGTGAATACCAACGCAGGGCACATGAATAAAATCTATTCTACCTTAGCCCCATTTTTGTTGTGTTGTCTGGCTATTTGTTGGCGTCACGTATACATGGGCGCCATCTTGTTTTTTTTACGATATGCGTAGATCGAAGTTACAGATAAGGTTTATTTTGAGGTTTAACCGCTAATTTCCCTATATAAATGATAGTATGTCATTCTCCATAGCTATCACTGAGTATATTTGCAGTTTATTTGGAATTATCCAGGTGCATGTAGTGCTGGCGCTTTCTCTGAGTTCCATGTTCCCAGTTTCTGTAAATCGAATGAATTTTCTGTAAAACCCTGCAGAGAAAGAAGAACATTGAGTTAAACTGTATCAATTTGCGATCTTTTTCTAATCTATAGCTGATCATGAACACTATACAGCTGATCTATATTTACAAATCTAGTTCAGTTGATGGAATGCAAGTGAACGTCGTTAAATGTCTGCCGAAGTTCCGGTAGAGAGCCGTGCGCGGCCCCGGGTAAGTCTGGAAAGCTTCGCACATATATGGTTACCGTACGTGTGCGCGGCCCAGCGTAAGATCGACGATATTCGCACGAATAGGGTAGTCTGCGCGCCCCCGCTCTCAGGTGAAGAAACTCGCAGCCTGCGACTTTCGTCCCCTAGGACGACGAAACTCGCTGTGCGATTCTCTGCAAATCGCATACGATTACATAGCTCAAATGTATATCATATAGCCATATAATCTTTGAGAAGTATTTGGCATGGTTACAAGATATCTATGAGATGAAATAGTTAGTAAAAATTGTGTGGGCATTGCCCATGCTAGATAATCAACAGTTTTATCTCTACCATCCAACTTACATTGGCAACATCCCAGAAGTAACTTCCATCTGTAGAGAAGGCCTGCTCCTGAAATATAGACAGTACAGTCATGTTAGATGGTTAAAACAATAGACAGGCAAACATATCTGTCCTTGGTGCTGAACGCCATCCACACACAGGAAAACATATCTGTCCTTGGTACTGAACACCCACATCACACACAGGAAAACGTAGTAACTTCTCACAGACTCTGTGCAGGCAAATGGACCTTCTTTGGCTGGCCAACTTCCATGGCCAATTATATCCCATTTTTAGGCCAATTTCTACTATCTACTCAGCCTGCAAAGGAGTCTGATGGAGACTATGCTACATAGGACACATCTGTAAGCTGACTCAGGTCTTTTACGGAGTAAATAAGATCAGGTCTGAACCTAAGCACTGTCAGGTCTCACCTTTCCTCCCTGTACCACAACCTTGTCTCCAGTCACTTTCACTGCCCTGGAAGCATTTTTGCCCTTCTCGCTTTCTGCAATAAAATCCACATTCAACACTTTATGAGAAAAAGAAAAGGATTAAAGATTACCAAATACACTTAGAGAAAACTGAAGGATTCCTGATAATGCTACAACTTTTCAACTACCCTTTCTGGATTTCTTCTTATGATTTTGTCTCTTTTATGAAGTTCTGGGTCATAAAAAGAATGACTTTTGTGGAACTCACTCACACACTCACTCACTCACTGTCCGGTTTATCGTCTGTTGTTCCCCGTCTTCCGAGGAATTTTACAACCAGGCCATAAAAAATTGTATTTTAAATTCTAGGGATAGAAATGCATCGATGATCCATTCTTGACATTAAAGACTGACCTGTGAAGGGACGACACCTCACGACTGCCTGAACTGAACACTTCTCCCCTGACTGGAACATAGCAGGAAATACATTATATAATGTTACATAAAGACTTGGCATGATCAAATCGGAGGACACGTAGTGAAAATAGGTCATGATCAATAGTTGGCTGTTCAATACAATGTACCTTTTACTTCCTGGTCTCTGACATATGAAGTTTTTCCATAGTACAAATAGGATACTATGTTAGTATTGTTACAAGACAAGAAAACACAAGGAGACATCTTCCTGTTGATACCAAGAAGGTCTCTTTAAACATTCTTGTTGATACAAAGCACCAAAAACATGAATTTGTACCTGACAGGAATGTTTGTTTTTGTTTCTCTCTCTTTAGTTAATATGAACTCAAGGAAAACCATGAATTTGAATGCCTTTCAAAATACTCCATAGCTCTTTGTTGAATACACATGTCTTACCACCAAATGCAACAGTCATTAAGGCTAAAAGAGACGAAAAGTTAGGGTACATTGAGTTCAATGTGTGCACTTACCATGTTATCTCTTGTGGTATGTCTTTTCTGGAACTTCACTCTTTGCACCTCCAGAAATGTTGTGGTAATGAGTTTAATTGTGGGCTGCCCTGAACAGACAGGACATTGTGCCTAAGAACATGTTTAAAACCATTGCAAATATCTTGCGTATTTCACAATAACTCAGTTGTATAGTATACGACATCCTTGAAACAGTCTTTTTTACTATCATCAAAGAATACATTTTTTTTCTAAAACATGAGTTATACAGGAGGATAAGTTACGGCATTACGTAAATAAAATGTAAGACAGTCACTGGCGTACCATGTAGCTAGGTAACCCTGACGTCATTTCCCACTTCTCGTGAAGTCTCGCGTAACTGCTTTCTATCTTAAATCATCTTTTATATTAGATTCAGCGAGCCTTTTGATAATCCGGAGGACACTTGACATTTTTTAGTGATATATGTTGGACTTTTAAGATGGAAGTTGTTGTTATTTACCTATTTTGATGCACTTTTCGGGAAGTTATCAGCATTATTTGGTCACGTGACAAACGAGAGTTGTGAAGTGAAGATGGCGGCGTCCAGCTGAAAATTCATCGCTTTTGTTCAATTTCTTCGTTTTACCGGGAATATTTGTGTCTTGTAGAGACCCAAAGCCTCATAACATACAGGGACGGGTCTAGTGTGTATTACAAACAAAATTTTGTTTAACTAAGATTCTGATCAAGCCAGAAATTCAAGATGGTTGAGGTACGTTATCTACTTACGTTTCCACGCTTTCCATGTGGGGAGGGGGGCAGTTGTTGCTTTTCTTCGTCTTTCCTTTTATACTTTGAAATACACACAATGACAAGGATCGGATCATATTAGGTGTGTTGTTCCATATTGTAACCGATCCGTTGTTTGTCCCACACAGGAAGTGACCAAGCACTCCGTGCATACCTTAGTGTTCAGGTCACTGAAGAGAACCCACGACATGTTCCTGTCAGATCATGAGAAGCCTGTGGCCAGGGATGCAACCAGGTAGTACTTGGAAACGCACATCATAAAAATGTTATTTCCCATGTTGTTGTTTTGACTAGTTATGAGCACAGCAACATGATAAAAGCATATCAAATCTCATACAGGGCTCTGTGCAAATCTTTCCTTTCAGCTAGAGACTAAAATTTCAAGATTGTAAAAAGAAAGAGAGAAATGTTGTAATATGTGCAAAATGTTTTTTTTTTCAACCAAACAGTTTAAGTTAAGCTTCATCAGATTTATTCATTTGACTTCCCAATAGCCACCTGTGAATGTTCATACCTTATTGAAGCCAGTTTAGCAACGTATTATTGAATCTTAACAAGCCATAATTTTTTCCAGTGATGCGGTAAAAAGAAACTGTAAGGCACATGACGAGTATGGGCCTGTCATGAACCTGGTGGAAGAGACACGTGTTGAGAGACAACAGCCGACGAACGCTTACCCAGACCCCCACCAACCTGGTACGACCCGGAACTTCAACTTTTCCTGTCTGCTTTGGCAGCAGTGTGCATGTCAGAATGTCTTACATCTTTTCATTTGAATTTTCCTAGCAATGAAACATGTAGAAATCTGTTTTCTCATTGTATCCCCAGAGTTCCAGATGAACAACCCTGTGATGTTAGGAGTCCATCCCTACCCCAGTGTGCCAGGTACGTCTTTATACACTTAGTCTAGTGTCAGTGGTGTGTCCTGTCATTTACTTTGGTTTGGAAGTTATTGAGTATTATTCATAATCCCAAAAATATATCTACAATGCATGTCCTACTGAAACATTGAAACATTGCTGAAGTTACACTGCTTGAGATATTAACGGATGGATTGACTACCCAAGTTGTATGTCACATTGACATCTCTACATCCTAACTGATTTTGTGTCACTGACTACATTTGGTTCCCCAACCTTCTTGTTCCCCAACCTTCTTGTTGCGTGCAGGTGTAGAGTTAAGTGCAGACACCATGGCCCAGCTACGAGGTCCCAGTGATGCTGGTATCCAGGACGTGATGCGCGCCCTGCCCCCCTCTCAGGCCAAACTGGAGGCTGAGCGGACGGCAGCCAGCGTAGCTGATATCCACAGACACCACGGGCCGGAACGATCCATGGTAGGATTTTGTCTATTTTATTAGTGACCATCAGCAATACAATAGCTTTCCCGAAGAGACAAATGTACTCCTTAGTGGAACAAGTCCACTGGCACGTTATCTGTCTATTTGGCCAATTTCCACTCTTTCCAGTTGCTTCTGAAACCTGTTAGATGCTAGCAATACAAGAGGGACTGTGAAATGTTCTCATTATAAACTACAGGTCAAAGGTCTCAGTCATCTGTGTTGTTTTAGTATAGTAATTTCTTTCAGTGCGTGTTATGCAATGTATTGTGGCAGATTGCTTTGGCTCAATTCAGCCTTTTAGAGTATGTCATAAGCTACATATTTCCCTTCCAAGAAATTTATTTGTGTTTTTTCACTTTCCAGGCACTGGTGGCAGTAGACAAAACTAAGGGAGCCATGGTTCCAAGGAAGGCCCCCACCATGCCCAAGCCCCAGTGGCACTCTCCCTGGAAGTTGCACAGGGTGATCAGTGGTCACCACGGCTGGGTCAGGTGTTTAGACTTCGAGCCTGGCAACCAGTGGTTTGTCACAGGGTCTAATGATAGAGTCATAAAGGTGGGAAAATGCTCTCTCAGTCTACTATTGTTTGTTTTTTTACTGTCTGGATTTCCATTCCATTTTCAGGTTCATAATATCATGGTGCTACTCTATATTCTGTCACACTTGGGTGTGTTACATTGAAGGATTCACAATTTGCTGTGCTATTTTCCCATGCCCAGATCTGGGACCTGGCCAGTGGTCGGCTGAAGCTGTCCCTGACTGGACACATCAGCACAGTGAGGGGCGTGGTGGTGTCGCCACGCCAACCATACCTCTTCTCCTGCGGGGAAGACAAACAGGTGAAGTGTTGGGACCTGGAGTACAACAAGGTGTGTTCACAACTTTTTAGAGAAGATATTCAATGACAAGTGTTTGATCGTCAACTTTCTTTTCAGCACTCAGAACTTCAGACATTCTGGCAGTATTGTAGAACCAGAATTGTCAAGTCTCTATCAAATTTTGAAACTTCAATATACAGTACATGTACTACCCTGCTCAATGAAGCTCCAAATGTCCTCTAAATTCCATAAAAGATGGTGTCTCCTTTGTTTTACTGTTTGCATTTTTAATTAACATTTCACAAAGGACAAGGACAATGTGGCATACACTCAACTCAAGTTACAAATTTTGTTTCACCACATACGCACAAAACAACATTATTCAAGTGATTTGTACAGTCTTTTCTATGCTAACAATAACAAAATCTGTTTTGTTGTATATGTTTTTTTTCTGCAGGTGATCCGACATTACCACGGGCACCTTAGTGCCTGTTATGCCATTGACCTTCACCCCACCATAGACGTCCTGGTCACCTGTGGGAGAGATGCCTCTGCAAGGGTAAGACTTTAGTTACCTGGATTGTACATAATTTTAAGTATAGCTCATGCTTTATGAAAACTTGCAAAATTCTATCAGTGCTTTGTTCAGCTTCCTCTCTCATTAATTCTATGTTATGTATGTTTGTAACTGATAACTGATGTGTTATTTTCCTAGGTGTGGGACATGCGGACCAAAGCTAACATCCACTGCCTGTCAGGACACACCAACACTGTGGCTGATGTCAAGTGCCAGGCTACAGAACCACAGGTATGGTACATTACGGTTTATTGGCTCACAGATGGTACATAAGGGTTTGACTTGAGAGAAACTATCATTGTTTTGATGACACATTGATTACGTTGTTGTTTGTGTTTAGATTATTACTGGCAGCCATGACTGCACTATCCGACTGTGGGACTTGGTGGCAGGAAAGACACGGGCAACCCTGACCAACCACAAGAAGAGTATCAGATCCATCGTGCTGCATCCAAAACTGTAAGTCCTAATCATGTCATTGACTGTGTATTGTCTTCATTGTTTCTGTTGTTACTTCTTTTATCACTTGTTTTCATAACTGCAGAGATAACATGTGGATTTGTCCTATTTGTAATGGAATGGTGAAAAACAAATGTACATGATGTGCTTGTGCCTCATACAGTAGTACCTCTACAGATTGCTAGATGGCGTTCATGTACAATAAAACTTTTCTACTTTTTGGCAGCTACATGTTTGCATCAGCCTCCCCAGACAACATCAAACAGTGGAAGTTCCCTGATGGAAACTTCCTGCAGAACCTGTCTGGTCACAACGCCATCGTCAACACACTGGCACTGAACCAGGACGGCGTGCTGGTATCTGGAGGTAAGCTAGACATTGTTTTCTCAGGGTTAATCGTCTACTTGTATTACAGTTTACCAGTGTTGTGGTTTTGTCGAGACTTGACAGGCGGTTTACCTTCTTTTAGGTGTTTGTAATTGTGACCATGGAAGATTTTATTGAGTATTAGATAGTGTTATTTAAATACAATGTATTGTATTTAGTACAGTTTGCTCAGGCTAATCAAGTAAAAAAACAAGTGAATACTGTTCATGGGCTGTCATTATTTTGAGTCAGTGACAGCTTTTCAGTGTATCTGACATATCTTACGTAATGTTAAGAGGTGGGGAGTTTCAATAAATTGTAGTCAATGTTGTATCAGAATTCTGTGATGTTTAACCTCCCTTTCCTCCCCCAGCTGACAACGGCACGCTGCACTTCTGGGACTGGAGAACAGGATACAACTTCCAGCGGATCCACTCGGCCGTGCAGCCCGGCTCTCTGGACAGCGAGTCCGGCATCTACGCCGCAAAGTTCGACCTGAGCGGCACGCGGCTCCTCAACTGTGAGGCCGACAAAACCATCAAGATTTACAAGGAAGACGAGACAGCGGTGGGTGCAACTGGTTGTCTTGAAATTGATTTTACTTTGACTTTGCTTTTTTTTTTTAAATGCTGCAAGCAATGTAGTCAGCCTTTTCACTTTTTTTAAGAAAACAAGCTGTGAAGTATCCAAGGCATACCATAAAGATTAGTGACTCATCAAAAAAATGTTTTACTGTTACTTGGAAATTAGGTGAAATGTAGATAGTACTGTACTTGAATAATCTCTACATATGTGTGCTTCTTTTATACTACAGTCTGAAGAGACCCACCCAGTCAACTGGAAGCCGGAGATCATCAAGAAGAAGAAATACTGATCATTGAGGTGCCCCCCTCCCCTCCATGCCATGTTTATCTTACTCACACATGTAAAAACTGACAGAGTCCTAAAAGTCGCAAGCTTTGCCTCGAAGATCCCAAATGTACATTTACTAAACAAATACTAGTAGCTAAAGAACCAAAAAGATATTCTTTGGCAAAGCAATACACATCTGCTGTCTGTATGTGTTGGATACTTTGGTGACATAAGAAAGGTTAGGGAATATTTTTAGGGCCATTTCTAGCTATTAAAAGAAGACATTTGAAGGAAAATCTAAGCAGAAAAGTGTATGGTTTTCGATTCAAGGAATGACACAAGAGACAAAAGCTGTGATTATTTTCATATGCATGTAACCTTACCTGTAAAACTGACTTTCACTACATTATGTGTGTGTAGGCTTTACGACACTTCAGGATAACCTATTTGTAAAAGTGGTATCAGGAGTGTGTTTGTCAGCCAGAACTGAAGCTAGAAGTAGAACCCATGTATTGTAAAGCAATTAAAACTATCACACGGGAATCCTTCTACCATGCAAGTGTCATTCTTGAGGCTACAAATGTATTTTGAAGCAATGATATCACTATTATCAGTAGATCAACAAAACTCAGTAGAGAGTAAAGACGTTGCTCACTCCCTTGGTGCAGTACTCCAACTGATAGACAGGTGATGCTTGAAAACACAAGTTTGCTGCCTCAGTGGTGATTATTAAAGTAGGTTGAAACTTTTAACATAACATAACCCAACATATAAATTCCTAGAATATGTTCAATGCTCTTTTAGCTGTATTGTGTTAGAAAAGATGAAAAGATTGTTTCAGAAGATTTTATTCTTTTTATTGTTTCTCAAGAAGTCAAACAAGGTGCAAAAACATCCCTACACACTAGTTAGTTACAAACCAAACTGTTTCATGTTCATTACATATGACATGTACTATGGAAAAAAAACATTATTTAGATATGTATAGAGGACATTTCTGATTCGTACTGCCCATTTCAACCATGCATATTGTCGTGACATGCGTTCTGCTGTCAAGTTTATCTCAAATTTATTTAAAGTAAAAGTCTTCTATAAAGTTTTATGGTATGATACAAATAAAAAGGCACCAATGTATACAAAAAATGAGAAAAAGTTGTCCAGTCAAATCCACAAAGCTAAAAATGAACATTATCATTACTTTGTTACAATGCCACAGTAAAACATTGTTTTCTATAATATTTGTAGTCTCAAACAAAATTTGCATTCATGACTTTAAAAATTCCCTCACATACTGCCCATCCTCCCGTGTACAAACTTAAGAATCTATATATATATAGTCTTCTTCTATAGATACCAAATATGGTGAAATAATTTGCATAATGCTACAAGAATCAATGTGCATAATGCTGAACACACACATAGCAGCAAACAGCTATCTGCTTGGAAGGAATATGTAGTCATGAGCCTCCACCACTGGTAACACTGTGAAGTAGCGATGGATGTCCATGCTTTTAGTAACACTCAATGGTGAATATTAACAAAAATAAATCAAGTACCTCTACACCTATCTATTAAAATCCACACAAAATGTCATTATCAACTCTACATATTTTCCATTCATCACGCAAAAAGGATTACGGTACAAATTCTGTACCACTTCTGATTTCCTCACACAGAGAAAGGCTTGTCTAGTTTGCTGAGAAGTTTCCTTATTGTGTAATAACAAACGCCAAGATGTACAATTGTACAGAGATATGAACTCCTATTTGGATATTTCTACACATTTTTCCATCATCATTTGAGTACTGGCTTGACTGCTGAACAAACCTGAAAGTCACAAATTCTGTATCAAATCCAAAATGCACAGTATAAGTTACTATAGCCCTCTGTCTGTGATATCTTTGCTGTTTTGAGTATCTATTTTACTCGTGTCTGAATGTGTAACAGTGCACACCCTATACGCAGGGTCTTTACATCCATGTTATAGAAAATATCCAACATTTTTACACTCAGTTACCAGGTATTGGAAGGTAAATTTTGGAGTTCATTCAGGGAAATACTAGTAGTTACTGTAGGTGGTCTGTAACATTGAAATTCAAAGACGCCCATATGCGAGGCATCGAATCTCAGAACAGCTGCTCCATCGTCAGTGGTTCAGTGTCAGTAGCTGACGTAGGAGGACGCGGCGCTGTAGGGTCGCGGTGAGGACCGACTGCTAGGGCGCGAACCTGTAGTTTGGACAAGCAGAGGTATGGCATTGTTAAAAAGTAGATCTTGCACATCACATGCCTTCCTAATGAGTAATTTATGGTATGCAACTTCGGAAGTTTTTCTTGACTGTTGATTGAATGTTTCGTACAGTTTTTAATGTAAACATCAATATCACTATCTGCCCAACTCCATGACTTCCCACGTGCACTTTATCTTTTTTATACTAGATGCTCCAACTGCTTTTTGTAGAGACTTTGCTATCTTTGTAGCCAGCTCTTTTAGGACACTGGTAGTACAATATTGAGTTCAGTACCATAGTCTGACAAGGGTTGCATACCACAGTGCAGTTCTATTTCCTATGTCTGCAATGGACACACGTTTTAAGCTTTTTTATACTAGATGCTCCAACTGCTTTTGGGGGAGGATTGCTAACTTTGTAGCCAGATGCTGGTGGTAAAATATTGAATTGCATAAAACAGTGCAGTTCTATATCCTTTGTCTGCTGTGAACACACGTGTAAGGGTGAGGGTTATAAGTACAGGGAGCCAACCTACTGACTGACATGGCGCTACCCGACCGCGTGGGGCTGGGAGAGCGGCTCCTGCTGGGGCTCATGGGCCGCGGGCTGGTGGCACGGCGAGGTGACTGCAACAAACAACCAAAGCAACATTAGAGACTGTACTTCACATAACCAGGTACATCCGTACTTTTTCTGTGTGAAAATACATGTACATGGATTTATGTTGAATATATGATTTCTATGATTATGTTAGTATCATGCTTTATCACGAAGACTTTTCACCTTGATACATGTAGTATAAGATTGCCTAGGTACCATCCTGGTCTGTTGGTCCAAAGTGTGAACTAACCAGAATGGTACCCAGGTTAAGTATAAGATATGTACCAAATGTTCCCACCCTTTTTATACAGTGCAACCTTTTAAACTGATTTGTTGCTATGAAATTTTTCCCATCCAATTTTTTTGAGATATCAAGCAGAAAAACAAAACATGGGTTTTCAGTTAAAGTCTCTGTGATAGTATTCCCACCAACCTTTTCTAGAGACAAAATGTTTGTTTCCTTCCTCGACTTTGTCATGCATTAAAAACAAGAGAATATTACTACAAGGTTCCAATATCCTTCTCTTGGCAATGATTCTGTAACTGTTTGTAAGACATAGGGCAACAGTTGCAGAATCATTGCAAGGAAGTGAAAATGGAAAGAATCATGCAAAATCAATTTCATTCTTTAATCACAGAAAAATACTTTACTACATGTAACACTAAACATTGATTGGTCAATCATGCTTCATTTTGATTGGTCAATTGCATTAGTGTTGAACCAATCATATCACCCACAGGGCTTGGTGAACGGAGCCTCGGGCTCGGGCTGCGACTCCGACTACGGCGCGGGGAAAACTGGGAGAGGAGTCACACAACACGAGAGGAGAGAGAAAAGAGAAAAGGTTAGACTTCACAACATCACAGAAAACACAACATACTAATGGCTCTAATGGGGTCTTACTGTTACAGAATATCAGTTTTTTGTGACAACTGTTTCTTTTTAACTTGTTTGAATAATACATGACGATGTACTGGTACTTCACTTTGGTTTCATTTAGTTTTTTCACCGAGCAAATCCACCAAGTATTGAAAACCTGTAGTGCTTCTAGTCAACCCCTTGGTACATTTCCACCAAAATGTTCAGTATACCCCTTCAGAGCCTCACAGAACTAAAGACACCATGTTAATGATAGTTATGCAGCTAAAATGCAAGCTGTTATTGTTAGCCAACAAGCATCAATGTAGGCAGTGTGATGCAGTTAACATTGTTAATATTACTGACATTGTTAATAGTACTGACAACATTGCAACATTAAGCAACATCAAGCAAAACAGCTACTAATATTACAAGTTAGCTTCTACCAGCATCATTAATGAAACAGCAAAAGCTGGAAACATGGACACATGTAGAAATGAAATGGAGCTCGGAAGAGTGAGCTATCCAGTAGAAGAAATGAGTGTATTTCAAACAAATGTTAGATAAAAAGTCCAATGTACATAATGTAAGTTTTAAAGAAGCCCAATGTACTAGTATGTTGAGATGCCAACTACATGTTTGAATAAAATAAGTGCATGATAAGATGATGAAATGGAAAATGATTTGGCAGGCCTTTTCACATCAATGTGAGATTCAAAATCTTAGTGACAATTACTCAATACTAGACTAAGTATTACTACACGTGCTGTAAACATTGTTTGGTAGATGTGGAGAAATAGATATGTCAGCTTTTTCTGCCAACAACCCTACTTATGTTAACCAACTGTTGATAACTGCCAACATCTTGACATTGCCTATATCTCAGACATAGATGGTCTTACCAATGAAGCACCCCTCTTAGTCACAGCCTCTCCCTTGACCACGACCCTGTCATACTCCATCAGTGCTGGCCACACGTGATAGGCCACCAGGGGAGCCGTGAACTCAGAGTCATAGCTCCTACGGTACCTGTCAAAACAACAGTATAAGTTGTGAACTCAGAGTCATAGCTCCTACGGTACCTGTTGAAACAACAGAATCACATAAGACAACTCGAAAGGGATAACACATTGACAACTTTTACTGTAGGTTCAATGTGTTACTTTTACACCAAAATGGCTTGTGATGACAATTCTGATATGTCCTAATTTTGATTATATACAATTAGAGAAGAAAGAGTCTTTGTCATTTTGGATATCTGGCTTCTTCTCTGACTTGTAAAACAATTTGAGCACTTGTGCTCAGAAGTTGAGGTTACTAGTAATAGTATGTTGGCAAGACTGCATCCCTAAAACACCTGTTATTTAGTCTTACCTAAATGCAAATGGAGGCAAAGTTGAGGTGTGTAATGACTATACAGTGAGATCACCAAAACATAAGACTTGTGATAAATACTGGTTTCTAGGTTAGCATCATTCTCAAGCCGACCAAATGACACAGTACTAATCTGTAATCCTGAAGGAAGTTGGACAAACTAAACAACAGCCCTTCTGTCCACACTTCTGTGGATGGTGTCAAACATGACAGGGGATTTGTACACCTTCTGCTGTTTTATGTCCTTGCTGTTTAGATACATAATGCAGTACAATCCTTAAAAATCACAAAACATGACTGAGATTTGTCCGAACTGGAAAATTAATGTTTTTTCCAGGAATATTTCCTGTAATCATGCTCCCCCGCTGAGACTATGAAGTGTTATTAGTTCTAACAAGTACCTGTCATAAATGATCTACGGTTTGTGAATGAAATGTCCTGTTCCTTACTTGAGCTCGTTGTACAGCTCTGCATCAGTGGCAGGTGAGATGTCGAGCGGCGGCTCCAGAGCACACATGCCCCAGCCACAGCGGCACACCTCACGGATGAACGGATGCAGCAGGTTGAAGTCAATCTCAGCCGGGAAGGAGATCTTAGGGTTGACATTCATGGCACGGATGGTGTCCTGGGAAGAAGAGTAAGGTTGACGTTAACACTTGTTAAGTGTAAACATTAAATGTATATATATGTGGTCTCCTTCCAGCATGGTAAAATCCTAAATGTTAACAGCTTCGGCTACTGCTGAACAGTCCTACACAAGAATGACAGTCTCTGCCACATATGGCACTTTTGTAAAGTTGGCTCAGGTCTGTTGCAGAGTTGAATTAAATGTAACATTATATTTATCTATCACCTTGCTTGATATTTCCAAACATCTTCTTCCCCAAAATTAAGGTTTCATAGAGTTAGCCTGGAATCATTTACAGTTACTGTATTAACTGTTTTATAATTTTTCTGCTCGACACTTAAGTTTTAGAGTAAAATAAGAAACATGGTTCCCACCTGAACAGCACCGTTGACGTCAAACAGGTCGGTGTTCCTGACGATGTAATCAAGAACAGCCTCCTCCAGAGTCTCCGGCCCGACGTGGGTGATGGCGAGGTTCTTACGCACGCGCAGGCGCATCGCACGGAATGCCATCTTAGCAGCATGGAACGCCTCCTGTGGAACAAAGCAAGACATGCTTGTCAAAAACCGAGGTTTTGCTAGAGTAAACAGTATGTATGTACAGTAGTAGAGAAAACAGTATGTACCATTTTAAAGTCTTTGGTATAACTTGGTCAGGGATCAAACTCAACTCACAACCTACCAAATGCAAGGTAAACTTCAACAGTCTACCCACTTGGACATTACACCCGTTTTTGGACTGTGGATATATGAGTGCATTTCAGATGCTGTAGAACTGACCTGCACTCCTACAAAGACGATACGCTGGACCATTTCCTCGTCATCGGGGATGTAGCGGCGCAGGGTGGTCAGGGCCTCGACACGGTCGATGCTGAACAGATCGTTGTACCGGCCAATCAGACGCGAGCGGCGCACAGAGTCGGTCAGCTTGGCGTGGGTCGGGGAGCCGGGCCGTGGTGGTGGGAGGGGCGGCAGGGGCTCGGGCAGGCTGGGAGGAGGAGTTTGTGAAACATCAGGTTTGTATGTAACATCAATTATTTCCACACTCTACTTAAATATTTCAAAAGTGATACCCCTTCAGAAATAGTCAAACCTGTCTATACGGACTTCAAAAAAACAGTGACACTATACAGACAGGATTCAAGGCAAAACAATCTAAGAGACCAACAAAAAGTGGCCACTAGCACAGGTTTGATTGTAGTTCAATGTAATGAACCCAAAGAAAAAGGCCCCACCCATTCTCCAGTGCAGCTCTCTCTCCTCGGAGAATGGCGATCTCATCCCGCAGAACCCGGACCTGGCGCTCATAATCACCAATCAGGTCAACCCTGGTGCGCAGGGAAGAAGATTCGTCTCTCGTAAGCCTCAACCTGATGGAGAAGTAGAAAGACAAAATTGTAGCTTTCATTTTCATGTAATTACAGTGGTCATAGATAAAACATCTGGGATTGGCACTTTTGGAATGAATTATTTCACATTTGGTATCAATACATCTATTGTCTTTATCTTTTGCCCATTGTCGTTGAAAGTTGGGAAACTTGACTGACCAAAAAATAGCACAAGCTTATGAGGGCACACTTGTGGCTGACTTATTTCAGTTTTTATTGTACATATCTGTATACTGTCAGTGTTATATAATACATGTATATACTGCTCCTAAAAGGCACTGTTGCATTAGATCTAAATGTACCAAAAATTTCTCATTCACAAATAGCTTGAGAACTTGTCAGCTGTATCGACTTGAATAATATCATCATTTGTCTCGATCGCTAGTGCCCAGCATATTAGCAAACCAACCGCATAGTGTCTGAAGACCAAGAAAGCTAGTTGAAAAAAAATCAAAACCGTTAGTTAGAGTGATGTTTTGACAGTTTATGTGAAGGGAAGCAAGCAAGCCACCACCAGTGCCATGGAAGCAACCTTCCCACCAAAAGAGGGGGTGTTAGTGGGAAAAATGTCCATGGGAGGAAAACTCACTGCCGCCTACGATCTTTGATCCGATTCTGTAAGGATCGTACCTGGCTGTGTACAACATGAATGATAAGATTCACACAAGAAAAAATGAAAATGAAATGATGATGAACAAGGCTATTTTTGTATGGAATTTCATGCAAGAGTAAAGTCATCTATTCAAAGCAAAGCACACAAGACATGATCAGAAGTTGGATGCAACTCTGTTTGTGATAACCTATGAGGAAAGACCTATCTGCAGACTATCATTGATGGTATGCCTACAAAGAGGATCACCAATATATTCACTATGGTCTCCACGGTGGTTGTTAAACGTGAAATAATTCACACCTTTGTGGGGAATCCTCAGAGTTTATTGATTGTTAAGACCTAAATACAGTGTTTAACCACCAAAAAATTGTTGTGCTCAGCTCAAATTAGGCCTTTATCTCCACAAAGTGTAACACATACATATTTGTGCAACACCTGCTTGCCACATAATATGGGTTTAAGTGAAATGTAATATTCAGAGATGGTGGCAATCACTTCAAATGCCTGGCAGAAAATGTATAAACTGTTGTACTATTTGCAATGCATAAAGTATAGAGAGTTCTTACTCTTCCTTCAGACGGATAATCTCATCCTCCGTGGCCATCATGGTTCCCGTGGACTTCCTCCGAGTATCGTCCAGTTCATCACGAGTTTCGTCCAACCTGGAAGATTTTTTTATATCAACATTAGTAAAAAAGTGTAGTTGAAAGTTTGGTTTCTTTGATCAGGGCCAGTAGAGGTTTGGTATTTGGCCAGCTCATTTCAGTATTGATGGCCCATACTGTCCCAAAGAGCTGAGTGCACAAGAAGTAAGACATGTTAACACCCCTCCATGAATGTAATAGACTAATAGTCCATCATGAAGACTGAAGAAAGAGTGCTCTCAAGAAACACAACTAGAAGTAATATGGTCTCTTCTTCATCTGATCACTGGGTTGAGCACCTGCCTTCCTGTACACTACCAACCCTTCAGAATAAAGCAGTAGAAGCTGTGGGTTCATCCTAACAAGGCCCAAAGCATGTACAGCGAAACATGCACCAGACTTACTCTGCCTTCCTGTACACCACAAATGCTTCAGAAGAAAGAAATAAAAACGCAGTGGGTTCATCCTGACCCAGAGCACATAAAACGAAATATGCCCCAGACTTACTCAGCCTTCAGGGCGGCTGCGTCGTCCTTGGTGTCCTGCAGGTCCTTCTCCATGTTGTCCAGCTGCTGCTCGTAGTGAGACTGGATCTCGGTGATCTGGCGGTCCTTGTCGGCCGCCTCGGCCAGGACGGCGAGGCTGGTGTCGGCTGAGACGCTGGCGGCGGAGGCGGCGAAGCCTGAACTCAGCCATGGCAGCAGCCTGTTCTTCAGCGTGTTCACCCCTCCATACAGACCACCTGGTGGATAACAGTTTGATAGAATTAAACTTTGGAAGGATGTTGTATGAAAGGCTCACCAGCATTTTAGCAACAGATTCTCTTTGGCCACAATACTTTAGTGATAAAGTTACAAAAATTAAACAATGACTTTGTTCAATAAATACATTTTTTGCAAGACATTAGAAAAAAGCAATAACTACAGTTAGATCTACTAGGTTCAAGGTACAATTACAATAATTTTACTTTTAGATTCTATTTTTACTTTTTGTATTGTCAGCTTCCTCATTCGGGGGATAGTGACCTCACTTGGCTTCTGAGTCCAAAACATTAACTTCAATAATAGCAAAATACTTACCTTCTGAAGCCACCAGGTTGAGGAGAGTGAAGAGCTGCCCCTGCACCCTGGCGTTCAGCTCAACCAGCTCACAGGCACGCGCCACATTCTGGTCATTCGTGTTGATCTGGGGAAAAATTCTACAATTTAGAGTACTAGTAATCTACAAAACTCTTACTACAATTTAGAAAACTGGTAATATCTTTTCACTTCAAAGTCTTCACTATGAAACTCTACAATGTAGAATACTGGTACAATGTAATATATGTTCACTACGAAATCTTCACTACAAAAGTCTACAATTTAGAATACTGGTAATATGTATTGCTCACTACATCATGCACTCTGCAAAGATGACCTACATATATATATAAAAAATTATATAGCTTTGATAGGTTATAGCCAGGGATGAAAGGTTATTTTATTATTTGTTCTATGACGGATTTTGTTTTGACTACTTGGACTGACCTTTAGTTTGTAGATCTGTGCATGTTTGCTCAAAATGGTACACAGCTAGAACTTATCCCTGAGGGATTCCTTCTAAAACCCAAGGTTATACCTGTGGACATTGTTGGCTTATTGACATTCCAATAACTAGTATCATTTATCACCAATGACATATGATTAGCTTGTTATAATAGCACAGCTGACAGTGACAAGCCTGCAATCAATCAATTCTTTGTATTTGGGCAACAAAGATTTTACCTTGGGTTACTAGTACATGTATATGACATGAATTATTGTAATTCCACCAGTCAGTAATGCCTGGGTAACATGCAATTCACCAGCTCTTAGGACCTCCAGGAGACCAACATGATGTTATTTGGGCTGTCCCAGTGGTGTACCATTAACTTTTACATCAATACTTATGTACCTAGTAACACAAAAGGTTCCAAGGGTAATTTCTGACTGTGTCAATGTACGGTCAGAGGCCATATCAGTGACACGGTCAGAGGACAAAGTCTGCATTTTACCAACCACAATCCCACAAGACTGATATGGCAGGTTGGCTACCAATGTTTCCCAGGCTTTGCGGCAAGCTCTGCCCAACAAAATGGAGTGCCGTTCTGTTCGCGACCTACATGGCAGTCTTCATCACCCACGGAATCCTAGTGACCGCCAGCCGGAGAGCAGACAACACGTACCCGTACAACACTGTTGCCGTGGTCATGATCACAGAGGTTCTCAAGCTCCTGGTTTTTGCAGTGCTGTATCTTAAGGACAACTCGTTTCAAGAACTGGTGACAGTCACTCTGAAGGACAAGAAGGTTCTCCTGCTTTATTTAGTGCCAGCTTCACTGTACTGTCTATACAATAATCTACAGTTTGTGAACCTGGCTGTGTATGATCCTACCACCTACTATCTACTGCTGCAGTTCAGAGTCGTTATCACAGGAGTCGTCTTTCAGGTTCTGTTCAAGAAGATCTTGAGCAAACTGCAGTGGTTGTCTCTGTTGCTGCTGACTGTTGGCTGCATGGTCAAGCACATGCATTACGACACCCACGTGAAAGACATTGTGTCATTTGAAGGCCAGTCTCTCAGTTTTCGTCTGAATACCGGCATTTTAAACATCCTCCTTCAAATATTTTGTTCCTGTTTTGCTGGTGTGTACACCGAGTTCCTGTTGAAGGGAGAGAAGACCAGTCATGTGCCCTTCATGATGCAGAATGTCTTCATGTACCTGGACTCCATCATGTGCAACTTGTGTGTGCTGGCTTACACTGGCGACCTGCTGTCTGCTTTCACCACAGAGAGCGTCAACTCCATACTTCAGCCCACTGTCCTTCTAGTTATCCTCAACCAGACTGCCATAGGCATCGTCACCAGTCTGTTTCTCAAGAGTCTCAACTCTATACTCAAGACCTTTGCTAGTGCTTTAGAACTCATGTTCACAGCAGTTTTGTGCTGGTATATTTTTGGCATCCTCATTGATGTTTTCACCTTCGTTGCCATTGTCATTGTTTGTTTGGCAACATTTCTTTATTCCCTGCATCCTGTTGTGATTAAAGCTCCCACCAGACATGTAAGTGATTCATGTGACAGCAAACAAAATGGACACGTGGTGTAGTGTTGGAAGAGGGAAAATTTGGGGTAGAGAAAGAGTGGTGCACATTCCCTGATCTCAATTCTTGGCACTCATTATGAGAAAAACTGCCAGAAAATATGAATGTCAAATGGGAAAGATGTTTGAATGAAATTAAGTTGATTGTTTAAAAACCTCACAGAAAAGACATGTTTATTAGTTGATTTCCAGATCTTTATCACAAGATAGAATTTCTTAATAAACATTTCTAAGCAGTCAACCTTTTCCATGGGAACTAATGTAAAGTTAATGCATGAAAGTTTTTCATGTTAAACTTTGTTTTCTGAGTTCCAACACGTCACTGACGCACTACCCTGTACCAGTTTCATTGTTGGATGTTTGCCTGTTTGCTCTGCAATCCCACTTCCTGCCTCCTTACGTGGTCATTTAAGTGTTCAAAACCAATACAACAGTTCTGATTACTGTACTCTATGTTTACACAGGCTTAATGACGGAGACTTAAGATGACAGCAATAAAATGACAAAATAATTGAATCTTAACTGGACATTACATGATGCCTTTTCTGTGATTTTGGGAATTAAAAGAAGTAAAAAAATGGAAAGAAAAATAAAACGTTGTTTACAGCAAATCTGTTTTTTCTTAAGGTTAGTGTGGTTAGCTATTGAATTTGGGTCTAAAGGTAGATAAGTTTTTTTCCTCAAAGCCTAATATTTAAATGTATGAGAAATAAGAGAAAAAGTGAGTGTCTGAAGAACTATGTTCTGCACCAAAACATATTAATTGGATTTTATCTTTTTTGTAAAATCATTCAAGCTTCAAGTCAGAGAGGCAACAATTTATGGGAGATTCCCTCTGCCTTCTGCTTGTGAAGAAAGTGAAGGTATTTTGAATCCTTAGGTGTGACTTGGGACAAATCTGTATGCAATGACCTATGCAGAAAATCTCCAGGGCCTCACAGCATTGTTCCTCCACAATAGCTGTTTTCAAGCCTGTACACCTGCCTTTGTTCTTTTCTTTACAAGGTGTTCTTCAGCCGATTTGACCTGCTATGTCTCTGTTAAGTCCTCACAGTTCGACCACCTGTATAATTCATTCAAACCACGGATGCAGACCTACAACGGACGACCCAAATGAAACATACAAGTTTTGTGCCACTGTAATGAATCAGGACAGACAAAAGCTCAACTTCATGAAATATTCAGGATCTGTTTTGGTTTAAAGCTACGTGTGTAATGGCTCTTGAAATCTTGTGTATCGTACCTTAGGCTGTCAGATACGATTTGGACAAAAGATGTAAGAAGGCAAGGCCAGTAGAAACCGATCAAATGTGCAGGTAATACAAGCTCGGTGCGGTGTGCTAATATTTGTTTTACAAACGGCGATACTGCGACAACAATCGGGTTATCAGTCAAGCGCAAATAAGGCCCCGTGTCCATGGCAACCCATGATGCCATGCGTCCACCTGCCATCTTGAAATACCAGAGAAAATGTTGATGTATGTCTGAGTTCATTGTTGGCCACTATTTAAGGAATCCTTGAAGTCGAAGTGTGAAAATACTGCAAGCAGACCGTGAGCTCGGCTTTGGACCGACGCCAACGTGCACAAGTCGGAGGTGACTCACGCTTGATGCCAGAAAAAAGGCGCCCCAATATGCTAAAATCCTGCATTAGCCTGCATTAGCTTAGCGCACTGAAAATCGATATACTACTAGTACTACAGGTGCATTGAGCGGCTATTTTATACAGGATTTCCCAGCCTTGGTGATCGTTCCATGTCACTGACGATCACCTAGCTACGCTAGCCCCAGATTAAATATCCCCAGGGAACACTAGAAGCCATTCAACTCCTTGATTGCTGGTTTTGTTTCACTTCTTGATGCAAGGTGTTTTGAAGACAACTCTGAAGAAGACTTAGCACCAGACAACAAAAAAGGCGAGGTGGTTTCATGGTTTCCCAGGGTTACGTTACATTTCTGTTCTTAATACACGTAACACAACCCTGCTGCTCTCCAGGGTCACGACGCCAACTCTTGTGAAAACTTCCAGACCAACGAAGAAACTCTAAACAATCCTCCCAAAAGAGCTTCTGCGTGCACAGAATATTCAACAACACCCAAGTAACACCCAAACATTTCCTTTCCAGCGAAGAAAAGTAACAAATCCGCGACACAATTGTATCAAGCGAGGTATCAGGTTTCAGAAATGTTGCAGGATGTAGCATGGCATGTTAAAACAGATTTTCCACCTAAGTTGATGATGACTATTCGACCGCAAATAAACAGAAATAACCGTAATCAAAGCTGTCCATGCGCTAATGTTTCCCCATAATGATCCGTTAATACAGCCGGGAATTACAGCCGAGTAGTGCGACAGGTGGTTGTAAATGATAGTCGTAAAGGTGAACCACTTGATAAGCTCTGACACGAACGACCCCCTGAGCACACACCCACACAGCTTAAAGTTCCCTTTAAAAATAAAACTTTCTACTCACGTGGTAGTCATCTAGCCACTTTTCTAGCTTGTCCTGCAGGGATGTGAAGTTCCCGTTGTTGACCATACGGCGGAGAGATTCAGCCATGGTGCCTGAGTGGTGCTGAAGTGCGGTGGAGGCGGCGCGGGTTAGCTGGTGGTCCGGGCAGGGCAGGCCGGGGGATCGGAGTGACGCTCGCCGGCCAGGAAGTGTTTGTTTCGAGGGACGCCAACGCATGCGCACTGCAGCGGTTTAAAGGGACCCCCGGGAAACAAAACAACACCTGAGGTCACCTGGCCGGCCCAGGTAAATAATTACCTGCCGTGCACAGGTAGATGATTACCCAACCACAGTGGCTGAGTACTGGAATCTGGACACAATGTCGTGGCGTGTGTAGTATTAATCTTCTGGTATTTCAAGGACGAAAAAGTCATCAATCTATAAAAGTATACATTTTGTAACGTTGGTCAGTGGTTAAGATAATTTTTGACAAGTTCATTGGATTTTCTGACAGATTGGACATACAGTGCCAACTTTTCAACGCCCACTGGACTGTCAGGCCGATAGAAAAGCTAACCGTCACGTTTCCGCTTGTGTGCAACGAATGTATCCGTGACCTGATCGACCTTAGTCATACATAGTTTCTCTCAATCTGTGGAATGAATAAAACCTAAAGTTCACTGGCTACTCGTTTTTGTGCGGTGGTCATCCCGGTGGCTTAATACACAAACAATGGCGAAAAGTAAACTGAACCCGCCTCCCATAATAGAAAATGAAGTGTTACAGGCTACTGCAAGTACACAATAGCTTTACCCGGCATAGAACGTTAGTATTGATTTACGGATTGTAAAGACTGTCCGACTTCTCTCTCTACTCAAGGTTTTGGTTCTTTGTGGGTCTTGTAAAATGATATATTGCCTACAATGACACGTTTTGTTGGCGGTGTTTCCATGCATGCCATTGTAGATCATTGTACTCAAAGGGTCGGTGTCTTCGTGCATGGTCCGGCTTCTTTTGCCAGTACGTATTTTCAGCATTCCGTACGCTAATAATTAATATTGATGATATTGGTGCGCTTCTTTTCCAAATTAAATTCTGTTTTGCCTCCTGTAGAAATACCACATACGTACTTTAAACCAGTAGTCAAGTAAACACCGAGCTTTGTCCCATATGCACTGTAATAATGAGTTAACTTAAATGCACACCCTTGAAATCTACGTTGAGACTTCAAGCGCCGTCAAAATCTCTCACTCTGGGGATACAATATTTGTATGGTGTATGGAAGACCATTATGTCTACATGCTAGATCTAAGGCCACCTCCTCGTGTAAAAGAGAAACTTCAAAACATTTACTTATTTTGATTTTAAAAAAGCATTTCGAAAAGTTGTTTTATCTTTTCTGTCTACCTTCTTATCACTTATAGCTAATGGAATACTAGTAGTCTACAGAGTACGTGAATGAGTACACAGCTGAGTTCAAGGAGGCGGCACAAATTTCAAGTTCAACACTTTGGTCTTCAAAAATAGGTCAACACCTTCTCCAAAGAGTTCTGCCACTTGTGATGATTCATGCAAACCATTTAGGCGGCCAATTTGTCGGCGCTAGGTGCTATCCCCAACTTCAAACGGCCTGGAGCACTCTCAACAAAATGGACTAGCGCACTAAATGTACGAAATCACTGTTCTGACATACCATGTGATAAAATGTTTGTTTTTTTTAAACATCTGGAGCAAACCGAATGTGAAAGCAATGACGTTCACGCTGGGTCGGGAAATCTGATATCTCGATGGATTGAACATTCGGAGAAATATCGACGTTAACTAAAGACATTCCTACGGGTCAGGCCCTGCCTACGGGTAGTTCTGTGCGCAATTCACCTGCTGTCTGAAGTTCGTGTGACGTTGGCAACAGCAACACCAGCCGTACGGTCGTACCCATACGTTTGTCTTAGTTACTAGTATTTCGTAAATGTATCAGTTACAAAAACGATAATTGGTGATAGGACCTAGGAAAAAAATGTTTCCCAACCGACCTGCAAGGGACAATAAATTGATGATCTTTTGAGTTGATCAACCTCTTCTAGCTCTGTGATCTGACACCTTAGTGATAAAACGTTGTACAATTGGCTACAGGTGTCCCCATGCAAGTTTTGCTTTAACTGTATTGTATAATTAGTCGAACCCCTGTATAGATATGCTACTTAAGTCTTAGAAAAAAAAAAAAGAATCCCTACCTACCCACCCTAATTTTTTCGGGAAACATGTAAACATTCAAATACATTTAGAAGATCTGTCTACCTTGTTATCACTTACAGCTAATGGAACACTCGACAGGTTGCGTGTATGAGTACCGAGTGAAAGGTTCAACACTTTGGTCTTGAAAAATGGGTCAACACCTTCAAGATCTAGAGTTCTGCCACTTGTAATGATTCATGCAAGACATTTGTTTAGTCAGTACGTTACTTGACAATGTTAAGCAAACTGAATGTGAAAGCAATGACCATTGGATTGGGAAATTTCTCTCTCCATGGACAGAACAATCAGAGAGACGTTACCTAAAGATATTCCTAGGGGCAGTTCAGTGCACCAGCTGCCTTCTTATGTGACATAGGCAACAGCAACCCAACCATATAAATACTCGTCTTAGTTACTTCGCAAATGTATCAGTTATACGCAAATGTATCAGTTATAAAAAAAGATCATTGGTGCTAAATTAGGTATTGTTCTGGTTTTTGTGCTAGTTGTATGGTGCAGTGAAGACCTTGCTCCCAGTGTTTGATCTTCTGTGTTACATTACAGCCCCTCCCACTGATGAATGCACTCATTTAGGGCCCCTCAACGTTAAATTTTTTAAGGAGTTTAGTGAAGCGCTTAATGTAACTAAGACAGCTTAATTTTGACCTTGATATCTGCTATCGTTTATCTATTGATTAAGTAAATGTCATGCAGATCTAAATGTCATGCAGATCTAAACACAAATAGTGTTAATAAAAACTTTAATAAAAAAACTAAGTTACAAATGTACATGGGTAACATTACAACAAAGTAAAACAAATGATACAATGCAGATATGCACAGAATGACTTACTATGTGCAAAAGCATGATATACCAGGTATTATGTACATCTTTACAAGTTCCACTTGGACAATGTGTTGGATGGCCTAGCAATTTTTGACATGTTAGGGCAGAGTTAACCGTACATTAAAACCTACCAATCAGCTTAGCCTGGAGCACAAGTTTTGGGAAAGATACATTCAAGGGTTTTCTGATGACATTACCCTAGTCAAAAGGTGTTGCAGATTACTCATACATGTACCAAAACTCAATGCTATACTATTGTAGGTTCGTGCAGTCTAAATGCACAGTGAGGCAGGGATGTGTGGTCAACAAAGCTGTTTTCTCATCTGCCTCCTCCCTAACGTGTCTTCCGTAGTGGGAAAGCTAAGCGCATCTGCTGGTGTGGCTGGCCACTGGCTGCTCCTTCACTGACAACAGAATTCATCTTTATTTCACAAAAGGACAGGAAGAGAGCTGACGCAAGGTGCAGCCAGTGGCAGCCGTAGCAGGGACAACAGTTCAGCCCAACACTTCCACATAACATTTCATTTATGTCAAAGATTCCCCACAGAATGTGCATACCTAACCACCATTTTTTTTTACACAAATTAAAACAAAGGGAATCTGAGACTTCTTTCATGTCTAGACATTTGACTTTCACCACAAACTATATTTGACTGGTTAACATTACTATCTTTCGGATTGTTCAGCAAAGTAGAAAATTTCAACAGCCGAAAGATTTCTAATGTATTTGAACAGGAAGTTTTTGTTGGCAGTGACAAGTTGCCTGAACCTGGATTGATTGCAATTGCACTCAAACAAACCTACACGTCTATCATAAAATGCTAAAAACTTAAAATCATTTTGTTAAAAACATTTTTATTGGCATACACATACTAAAAATAAAACTTGCAAATTTTCGTCCTCAGTGATCATTTCTAAAATGCTCTACTCTCCATTCAGCGAACAAGTTTGGCAGCAAAATTTTGGTTAGGAGCAGTCCATGTTCTACTGGTATAGCAATCTTTTGTCTTTACACAAAATGTACAACACTTAAATTTCACCCTGCATTGCACATGATTATGCCGTCGGAATGGTTGCTGGTGCCAGGATCGTAGACACGCTGTGGTACCTGAAAATGGGAAACATTTTGTTAGAAACCATGCAATTATTGAAGTTTCTGCAAGAGGGCACTTTTGCACTGAAGAAGGGATCTAAAGAGTGAAGGCAAAGAAATTTCTCTAGATTTGCACTGCCAGAAGTTCTTTTACAGTGAAATATACTGTTCCTACTAATGTCCAAGCAGATCCTATGGTGGCAAGACTGGACTAATCATTGGCCGGAGTGACCATTTGGTGGCCTTTGGCCAATGGTTACAGCCTTGCCTCCATAGGATTCGCTTCAACAACATTGCAAGTGCTCTCCATTCTAGAAATGTAACAGGATGCAGGGGCAGTACTTACTTGGGACTCCTGTACTTCTCCCTGACTGCCTGCTGCTGTGAGGACGGTGCAGACTGGAAGGTTCGGTGCATGTCCTGCACACATGGGAGAAGGTCTGCCAGCGTGTAGCCCGAGTAGTGCATCAAGGTCGGCGTCTGGAGAGGAGTAAATACAATCAGTATCAATCAAAAAAGTCAGCAACTAGAAGATTGCCTAGAGAAGGCTGTTGTTCTGACCAATGTTAGATGATATTGCTACCTGGCATCACCATCACAGAATGCTTATCAAGTATGAACTTGAAGAGTGAGCTTACCCATGGCTGCATGTTGAGCGTATGCTGAGCCAGGCAGAGCGAGGCAGCAGCGATGGTGGAGGGGATGTACTTCAGGAAAGTCTCTCCCTCCTGTAGAGTCAGCTCTGCCAGGTACTACAGGGAGGAAAAATAAAATTAGTTATATCTGGTTACTTCTTGGTACTATTTGTATCCATGCAAAAACAGCCACACATAGACCCATCAAGAAAAATATCTATGGACTTTCATTGCAACAGGCCTTGAACCTAAATGTCACTGAACCCTAGTAAGTACTTTTGATGTGAAAACATTCAGCTCCGACCAACTTACTATGACCAGGAAAGTGAAGAAAACTTACCATGGCCAGGCTTTCTGTCTTGGAGTTGACCTTTGCAGCCTGGAGGAACCTCTTCTGGAAACAGTTGATGGTTGGCACGGCAACGTCAAACGACAGGACCTTCAGGATCAGGTGCTCCATCCTCAGAACCTGTGGCAGCAGAAACAAAACTTTGCTGTCAATCAACCAATAATATTTCTCTGCTAGGGTTTTCACAAATTTTAGTACAAGTACACTTATCAGTAAAATTATAAAGTACTGGTTCATCTTTTTGCTTACCTGTTTCTTTGTGTAGGTGTCGTCAGTGATGTACACAAACTCTCCAACATCTGGGGGATAGATTTCTTCATACTTCCTGTTGGTAGAAAATATGAGAATATGAATTCAAGCACAAATGTGGAGACAGTAACAGATCAAAACAAGAGTCCCTTAGTAGCATTACTTATCCTACTGAAGAACCTGTATGCTGCTTAGTCAGGTGTTACTGACTGGCAAGTGAGAAGTGTCTAGAGTGCAAACTTACGATGCGAGGAACATGGCTGCTGTCCCAACCAGCTGCAGCTTGCTGCGCAGGACAGACATGGAGGACAGGAAGCGGTCGATATACGACACGGCCAGGTACAGCGTCTCGTTGTGCAGCTTGTACTCCTCAGCGACCTCCACCAGCCAGTCCACCAGGATACACCGCATGGAGTTGGTGATGTCAGGCTGCTTCTTCATATAGCCAGGCTTGGGTCTATGCCTTAGCTGGAAAGTTAGAAAGCAAGTTAAAACTCGTCCTGACAGGCAAAACTGGTACCAATAGCTGTCTTTGTTAGATCAATTAAAGCTTTGGAATTATAGAAAAATGCTTCTCTTTCTGGAATACTACATGCTTCATGCGTTGATGAAGGTTAGACATCCAGGTAATACGATACGCCAAAAAGCAGTTACTCAAGCA